CACTATCCAGTGTTCACCGGTTAGTTATACTGTGACCGCATGACTGCGACCATGATGATTTGTTTACCGATACACTTTTCCATCAAATTTAGTGACACTCACCACTAGTGCAACGGTGGACAAGCAAAACCGCAAATTGTAATAATGCTATATTAGGGCAAATTTACGACACTTGTAAATGCCACTAGTGCGTGATTCATGGGTCAGATTAGGAGGTATATTCAGCGAAAGGCAATTACTACTAACCTAGTAGGTTCACCGTCAGAGTTAGGAGGGTGTAAAGCTATTTGTGTTAGGTAAGGAGACCGCATGCCATAGCTAAACCTACACGGATGACACCTTTATTTATGGTTAACATCTAGCAGCTACAAAATTGCGCAGAAAATAGTGAGGAACATCAATGCACCAGTACATTTCTGTGCACTATTATTCCTGCGTACAGAAATCCACATACAATTGACAAGTCTTCAGCAATAACAAGTAATCCTTCCATCGAGCCGCCTCACAAACCCACTGAGATTATTAGCCATCAAGTGAGTCAATAATGCTTCGTTCAAGTTTTGTTGCCACCTATTTTATGATGGGTGTTTTTCGAATCGAAATACTAAACTCTCATTGCACGCGTCCAAGTTGCCACAATTTTGTTATCATGCCAGTCCCAAATGTGGCCAAAGTGCTAACCTGCTGCTTTCATGCATTGAGTGGCAACACACACGAATTCACTTACACTGTCCATCACCATATTACTAATGCTGACAAGTTGACAGCAATCGCCGAGTAGGTGTTGGGGGTCATTTCGTAACCACTACTTTGCAATGCCTTCTTGCCTAATGCAGCATGACATGAACTTGTGTTTATTCCCTTCCAACCATATTTATCCCCCTCTTATCAAGTTCAGGTAGTCAATAAGATAGGTTGAACAATCAAGGCGTAATGTATGTCATAGTGGTGGCAAAGAATCTAGCAGCATTGGTGGGGACGAAGTCACGGAACTCAAGCTAAATTCACCAAGGAATGGTAGGAATCAATTCGCCATGAATTTGATAGGTTATAATAAACACTTATGTGCAAGATCAATCATGATTTTTTGTATTAAAATATATACTTAAAGGATTATCGCATTTGTTGAACGCAAAAGTAAGTCTTATAAATCAGAAAAGGATGAAATGTTGTCATTTCGAGCCCTGAAAATGATAGCATCTGAGACACTGTAGGGAATCAGCAACCCCTCAAAAGGAACCGAATCCGCGCCATTCATCACACCGTCAGGACCTCCATAATCCCCTCCTTAAATAACAGTTAGCTGTAGCTGAGTTCTTAGCCTTTCAGAATATGCCACCGATTTTCGACCGCAATAACTTAAAGATTACTTAGCATTGCCGCAAAATTAGCATTTAGTTAATTTACCCACTATACTTTCTCTCAATGCACCAATCCTTTGACTTAGAATGATGCATTTAACAACACTGGATGGCACACAATCAAGCACTCACCCTATATTGCTAAACTTAATTCAGTAGCTCAAATTATTTTGATCACCATGTAAAACTTAAAGGTCTACCACCTCACATCTCATCTCAATGCCATTATCTTTACAGTGTTTTGCAATTTGATTTGTTTGAGCCTTGGTAGCTTGCCTAATGCAATTCGCTACTGCAGATCCTAGGATGGTCTATTTTTCAAATTAACACATCTTATGCGGCAGACAATCATTTTGAAATATTTCTTAGATATGTAGGCTAAGCTTGCAAAAAAGTAAAGCCGAAGTGACAAAAATGCTCCTTTGCAAATGCACGATAAAATGAATGCCTGCACCAGCCCTCAAATCAAATGTAAAGTTAATCACAAACTTACACGTGTGCTGAAAATAAATATTTCTTAATTAAGCAATTCTTACATTGTCTATTATTTAAATACAATAAAATCATGTGCAAACCTCTTCGATCAAGCTCAAGCAGGCTCAAATGATCGTTTCGCGTGCATCTGGATATCTCTAGATGACTGTGCAGCACCCTTTTCCACGAACCCACGCGACGAATTTTTACGCCCAAAAAAATATTCCATTAATAATATGCATTTTGCAATTCGTAAAATGCAAATCGTGTAAAGGATGAAGGATACACTTGCCAAATCGAGTGCCTTTCAGGAGTTACTCTTCCTCAGGATTGTCGGCCAAATTTAAACTAGAGCTCACTACTGAATAAGTCTTATTTCTTAGTAGTAGAGCCTTATTCTGTCAAGTTAGCGATAGCTAAGCCATAGGTTTGGGACTTAATTAAGAAACCTTTCGATACCGCATCCCTTCCCAAGGATCGCCTTGGTGCATGTAACCATGCTCAGAGTACTTCTTTCAAAAATATATGCTACATCTGGATTTGGGTAGCAGTTCTAGCAGTGTGCAAATCCAGCTTCTCCGGAGTAAACGCTCACTAAAAGATAGCACTGGCAGATATTGTGCCAGATAATGGTAGTTGGTCAGAAAAGTTCCACGTTTGGGTCGTAATCTGTGGTTGTCGCCATTGTCCTAGCAAGATAACATGAATATTACAGATTTTGCTCCATAAATTCTTCCCAGCAAATGTTTATATCTGATTCTTTGAGCATATTTCTAGTCTGTAAATACAAAACAAGCAAATCGCGATGGTCAGGCTTGAGGATTACTTTATCCTTCCTCACATGTATGCAGAGGCTGAGTGGGCATTAGTTCCATGTATAGAATCCGCATCCACATACCCGATGGGGACATCCAGTACTCATCCACTACACCTCAGCGAGAGTCCCACAAGCAGCGTCCCACTAGCACAATCACCTCTTTCCATCCTGTGGTGTTTACTGGCAAGGTAACGCTACTGCATCATCCATTTAAGTTAACTTGGCAGAAAATGTAAGAGGGAACTTAATAGCGACAGAGTGAAGTATTCCCGTTTAATGTCGCCTAAATTAAAAACTACCCCTGTCCATCTGGAGTTTATAAATGCTCCATAGGTAGATGCTCTCGAACGCCTTAGTTAATACAGTTTGTAGGTCTCTCCATGAAAGCATGAAAGTTAACTACTAAACACTCCTAACTAGCAACCGTTCAGGTATTTTATCAAGATTGCTTCCGACATAGATTCTACCCATTTTTTTCCGATTTCCCCATGATAAAAAATGAATGAATTAGTCACTCCATTCCTCTAACATATTTAGCTAAATAATTTTGTTGCATTTAGGGCATCAGGGAAGAGAATTTATTTCAGCAAGCTTTACACATTTTGCGACGGAATTTTAATGAGTCGAAAGTGCCCACGTAGGAACTTGATGGCTATGCTCCACTTAGATTAGGCGTTGGCGAGGCAGGAAGAGCAACGGGCAGCGCCCACAATTAGGGCCAACTCAACAGACGAGCACGCAACCACTCCCCATTTCGCATACCAAAGTGGCCTCTAAAGTTATTCCGTTTACAAAATTTATTTGGTTTTTTAGATGGTGACTATGGCAAATGGTACTCATTAAGGTGCGTCGTTGAGGTGGGAGAAATGCTATGGCGTCCCTCAACTGAGTCGCATTTATTCGTCTGAAATTTAAAAACAGTTGTTTATTTTGAGCACATCCTATAGCTTACTTCAAATTTCTCCCTAAAATTAACTTCTTAAAAGCATTCTTGTTACCCCTCACTAACTTTTTAAAGCATTAATTGTAAACAAGTTATCGCAGCTCTAAAACTACTTTGTTACCTTAATCCTAACGATTTTCTTGCAGCTCACAAAATTGCGGCTTGTTTTACGCCTACTAACTATCTATACTGCCTTTTCGGTTGACAATAAAGATGCTAAATTTTGTCTTTCTAGTATTTGCCTTTAATTACTTTGATGTAATCCGATTAACTCTTTTAGGTAAGTCCGCTTCTACTTCATGTCATGGTCCTAAATTCGAACTGAGAAAACGTCTAAGCGACGCTTACCACAATTTCTCATCCTCAAGAGCATGATGACTGACTGTTATCGTCGTTGGGAGCTTCAGAGCACTCAATCCGTGGAATAATGTGACCTTTATGTTTAGGCTGTAATTGCATTCGCCACAGATGGTACAGCTGAATACCCTCCCAAAGATTGGCATGAAGAGAGCCACGCCTGCAGAGGCAATCAGTAAGACCAGTACCAAGTATATCTAGTGTGTAAGAGAAAGAATACCGTGGTGATCTCCACGATGGCTGATTTGCTCTGCTGCTTGCATTATATCGCGTCATTTACACATATCACCAATCACGTAGAGCATGCGCTAGTTTCGGTATCGAGTTTAACCACTTTAAGGTCCCATTGCTATTGCTATTCACTAGTTATAAATTGATACCTCTTGTACTTCGCAGTACTATTCCGCTAAGCTTTGTACATATACCAGGGAAATAGATATGTTTCGTTATATTACGACCTATTACCCATACTACTGCTAAAATTTTATTTATTCTGGTTCAATATAGTCTGCTTCGTTTGCGGAATCCAAAATATCATCTTGTTACAGCAATATTGTGCTCCTTTGGAAAGCAATATTTGTCATAAAAGATTAGCTTCATTAAACTGACGACATACAGCTAAGTGGTCATATGGGGATCGACTATTTGCAGCCAGTTGAGCGTCATTTAGCACAGCATTATCTCACATTTTCGCAACCTTATGGGACAGCGAAATTACTTAAGAAATAAAGAGTTAAATTTCTACAAAAATACCTATAATCAGATGTGGGCTTGGCAAGGTGCCTGCATTATGTTGTACGGTGCAATGGGCGCATTTTCCATCAATAGTGCCCCCTAGCAGAAGCTGGCTTTTTGGTGAGCAAGTCAATCTAGTGGAAGACTGGGTTCTTATATAAATATGTATGATTTTATTTAATTAAACGCAAAATGCTTTTCAGTCTATGATATCATTTCTGCCCGAACCTTGACATTCTAAACGAAGACAAGCCAGCTTCCGTCTACTCATGCATTCTGATGGGAAATAGTCAATAGTGGCAATTTTGGCAACTCAAAGGCAGTAATTAATGGGACGTTTGGCGCCTACCCAAATCTTAAAATAGACAACGTCCGGGAGTTTGAAGGCGTAGAAGAGACCGGGCAATATGAGGACACCCACTGTGACGAATGAAATGGCACTGCCGAGGGCAAAATACCATGAGCGTCGATAGACTCTCCTCACTTCCTCTGGGTCAGGTCGGTTGTAGCTTTCCTTGCTAAAGTTGCTGAACGAAAACGAATACTACAAAACACATGCCATAAGACGATGTTTTTGTAATGTGTTGATCCTTGGATTGTCAAAAATTTCGAACGGATAGCTATTTTGCAATATGGCTTCAATATGCATAATAATTTTTCCTAGGCCTGTGAACGTTGCTAAGAAAGAGTCATCCACTGACTCGCTGAAAGGTGCCCGCATTTACATGGACCTCATGGAGTAGGCAAGGTAAAAGTTCCTTGGCTTGGGTCATCTATGCACTACCTTGATATGATGAAATTTTTTCGAATTTTGGACTGAGTATGTGCATCAGTGCGTGTTCATTCTGTGGGGCAAATGATCGAAAGGCAGGTGTTTAACATACAAACCAACTCTGCAATACGTACGAAATGTCATTTGTAGGTGTTTCATTGAGAATCTCAAAGCGCAATCCCTTAAGTGCACCTCATAAATCAGCGTTAAATATGCCATCTGTCAGCACAATCAGTAATGTAGCATTTGACATATCAGTGATTTAATGATATTTATAACCCCCAAAACAAAATAATGGCTATGCGGATGTTAGACCACACAAAGTTTTCGTTAGTTTTTTTATTGAAAGCCGTAGAACTTGAAGCAGGACAAAAGTTTGTTGGCATGACTATTTTTCATTTGGCGCGTAGTATAAAAATTTGTAGTTTTGAAGGCGATAGGATTTTCAAAGTTGATAGACTTAGAACAGTAGAAGAGAGTGCTTACTCCGCGTACTCAAAGGCCCAAGGGGATAACGGGTTGTCCAGTTCGTAGATACGTTGCCATGACTGGCAATCCAGATTGGTGTTTTCCTCATTGCGAAATGCCTTACGGCTTTTCTCTATGCATGCCACCAAAGGAGGAAAAAGGAATCCTCCCATGATTGCAGTCGTAAACAATGCAATATCTAGAATGTCGAAGTCTGGAACACAAAAGCATGCATCAACAAAATAGGTATTTAAATTATTTTATCCTGCATGTGACACTGGGCATTAGAATTCAATGGTAGTCGGGTCAGTTAAACGCTTTCTGAGCTACACCACTTGATACACCAAAATTTGCTTAATTTTTAGAACTGGATGACTTGTTTCTGAACGTGGATATTTAGGTGTATTTTGCGACTACCAGCTTGCAGCTTGCTGTACAGCCTACAGTAATTCTGCGTTGTATTATCATCAGGTTTATGCGAATGAGCAGTGAAATTAGGCGAATGTCGAGGGCATTACTTGGTATCAGCTTTGCACTAATCAGCCAAAGGTTGTAAAAAGGCGGAATAGTGTTTTTCTTTCATAAATTCTGCGATTTAGAGTCATTTATTAGTTTGAAGAATTTAAAACTAAATTTGGTAAGCAAATAATTTGACTCATTTGAAAAGGTTGTATTGTGTTTACCGAGACTGCAAATTGAACATGGAGTCGAAGAAGAATAAGAAGGGGGTATCTTACACAAATTTCTAAATTCAATACACTTCTCTACTTTAGCTGGCAAATAGCTAATCACTTTCATACAAAATAAATCATGCCAAGGGATGGTAATTTCTTAGCTCAGAAAGCAGCGGCTTAAAGATCCGACTACATACTCAGTGGTCCAACCAACTCACTCAGCTAGTTAGCTCTTGAAACAGATTAGGCCAAAAGCAGCCTTACCGATGCTGAGGTTGGGATATAATCTAATGAGAGTGTTCATTAGAACCCACACAAGGCCAGCCATAGAGGTGCTCAAAGCTGTCCCTACCACCACCCCCATCGCGGTCATTCTTTCCCAAAAGAAGGAGTACAGGAGGCTTCCCAGAGTGGCCGACACCAGTATATTGAATCCATTTATCAGTGTCACGGAGTTAACCTAGGGCATCACAAATATCTCACTCTCGTTAACTTTTAATCATTCCATGCGTAAAAAGAGAGAGAGCCATTTTCATGCGACAGAAATAACTTGATGTTATTTAGTTGATTGTCAGCATTAAGACCGAAACGCTGTCTTTTAAAGATTAAATGAGGGCATAAGCCCCTATTAATTATACTAGTCTAAATGTTGGCATGAATTTGCAACGCAACTGACACAATGAGATGGAGCATGAATTTTACATCTGGGAAAATAGAATGAAATCCAGATATTCCTTTTAATGGTTCTATTCTTAAGCACCAATGTCATGGCTAATGCCATTCAAGCTCACTTTAAGCAGGTTGAATAGCAGACCAATCGGAAGAACAACAGAGAAGATTACTAAGATGGATGAGCGGCGCACATTCTCCAAGCGTTTCTCGTAGTTCATGTATTCGGCGTGTGTTCTGCATTCATACGATGGCAAAACCGGACCCTTGGCAGCGCAACCATTTCTTCAATAGAACGGTTTAGGTGATAAAAATCTACATAATCACTTCCAAAGAAGACAGCAAGCATCAAAATTCAAGCTATGCTATAAAAGATGTTAACGCTTAAATAAAGCAACGCGATGTGGATCCTGCATTCGCTTCAGTTTATTTGGTGAAGAAAATCTGTCAGGAAAAACAGCAAAAATGTATTTGTCGGCACGTGAACTTTAATTAAGGAGAAGCACAATGCAGGTCAAATGCTGTATGCTTTTGTTGGTGCTCACCTTCTATTGATCTGACACTGTAAGCAGCATGTTACAGGTACACATTTGCAGTTGTCTTTTGGCCGGAAGATAGGTTCTCGTGTTTTTCCACACAATAAACAGCAATTGACGTCCAAGCATACTCGGAACGGCTACACCATGAAAGACATTTTGATTTTAAACAAGTCTTGCAATATCTTTTTATCATTGCTAACTAGCTTCCTTCTGGGGAAGTGCTGAAAACCAACGTCAATTTGTGAATTGATCTTACCATATTCCACTTTACATTCTGATAGGGTCAAAGACATTTAGCAATGGTGTTTTAAAAGCTTACCCTCATATGAATGGCATAGATGTCAAATGTGAGAATAGAACTGATCCCGAAGAGCTGGAACACGCTGATATTTACGATAATGAAGGCGTACATCACAAAGAGCACCAACAGACCTCTTCTGCCAAATAATGCTTCCGCTACGGTCACTGAAGCTTGAGCTGTTAGGTTAGAAGAGATGCTTTAGTAAGATGATAAATGAACTTGTAATAAATTCAGGCTGTCTTCATGTTTACCATTTCAAAATCACTCAAAAATGGCGAGAAGGTGCACCAACTTCCTCTGAGCTGAAATTGAGCTCATGATTAAAGCAAACATGGATAGACTGGTAGTGGAAATTGGTCCACCTTATCGGATCGTTTGTCTTAGCCGGCGGTCATTAGCGTGCTTTCCCCAAGGCCTTGACAAAATTGGCCTCAAGTGCTCGACATCAGCACCTACTGTTCATGCACAAAAGTGGGTGTACATTTGGAAGCCCATTCAATCACCTCACCAACCGTCTGTTTCGTTGTCTCTGTGAACTGTGTTTGGCTTTATTCATAGCGAGCTGTCTGATGCAATCATAACTTTTTCAATCGATCCTAGGAATCTTGTTAGTTCGCCACAATTTAGTGATAAGTTGAGTGGTATCACTTCGTCGCATTATTTATTATGGACACATACATAGTAAACGAGTGAGACACAACCACCACTGTTATAACATAGCTGTGAAGTCTATGGTTGCATTAGGCACTACGAAAGTACAGATGACAATGCTATTTTGGATATAAGTTCTATGATGATGATAGCGTTGCTAATAGGAGCACTTACGGGGATCTCGTCGTATTTTGAGAACCAATCCTACAATTTATGGCGAGATTATTTATGCAAATTTGCTTCTGTGAGCATTATAAGTCGGGGTGTTTGATCTACAGATCGACGTCATAGAGAGCACTCAAAAGAAAGTAACACTCTCATCAACTTATCGCTGCTTGTAGACAACATCAAAAATAAAATTGTTTAATGCAGACCTTCATGCCAGGCATCCACCTATTAATTTCTCAAGAATCATCTGCGAAATTGGGCCATCGTGAATATCTAAACTAGGCTCCAATCTATTAGTTAACAACGGACATGCAAGCATGGTTGATTAAATTGATGGCTTTTTAGCTAGATTTCAAACAGAATGCTTTTGCCTGGTCTCAGTGCGCCTAACACATGGGTCACGATCGAATAACCGTT